TATGTAGATTATATACCATACCGGCGCCTTTATATATACAGTAGATAGCTTATGGATATAGGAAACACACAAATAAGCATTTTATTTATCCAATAATATACAATACATATACTGTATATATATATATATATTTCATTATAAAATCATTATTACCCATAACTAGCGGTCTATTATGAATTGGCAAATAAATAGGATTTAATTTTAGTTGATTTTTCGGTAGGGGAGGGGAGGGCAGTGAGATAGAGGGGGCAACCAATGATTGGTGATATATATATATATTGTATGTATGTTTTGTTGTCTAACGGTGCGCGCATAGACAGAGAGAGAGAGAGAGAGAGAGAGAGAGAGAGAGAGAGCTCAGGGAAGCTGYCGGTGCTCTCTCTCTCTCTCTTTCTTTATCATTTAATAGACATGTGTTTGCGCACAGTTATCCCATTATTATAACACACACACACACACACACAYAATGAAAGCACTGGTAGATAGATGACTGTTGATGATATTATAGACCAATMTGTATGTATAATATAAGTATAAGTACAGTATTATTACAATTATTATTGTTGGAGATTTTTGCTATGAGATTATTAGTTGGGATATATATATATATATATATATATAGTTGATTGAAATCGGTGTGTCCTATGAAAACTACTTGTGCTATGATGTGTTGTCGGGTTGTACATTATTAAAAAAAGGCTATACAAACAAAACAGTATACCTAGAGTCATAAGTATATATGATTATTGAATATATATACGTTGAATATATACATGAATTTATAAACACCCGACTAATATCCCATGTTATTGTTATCGGTTGGGGGGGGGGGTTATAGATGGGRAGGGGGTTGTCRTAGGTTATGACCCGCTGCTACTGTTGCTGCTGCTGATAACATCCAAGTGCCGATTTTTGTCACACACATACATACATACATATAGGCGCCGGTATATTGATATAACAAACACATATTGTGTGTGTGTGTGTGTGTGTGTGTGTGTGTGTGTGTGTGTGTGTGTGTGTGTGTGTGTTAATCTCCGGTGACAATAGTAGTGATAATACTGTAATAATAATGTTATTATTAATAGTAATGAAAAAATCATTTGATTATTTAGATAAAAATATAGGGTATTATACGATACGATACTATAGAGTCTATACTGTATATATATATACTGTATATACCTATGGATTATCCGACAAAATTCACTGTTAGTTCAATAATAATAATAGTTTTCATAAAGTTGTTTTTTTGGGGGGGGGTAGCTATCCTACTACTACTACTACTACTACTACTACACACACATAACAACACATGAGATAGATATTATAATCAAAAAAAAAATAAAAATAAAATAGTATTTATTTTTAAAAATATTATTTATTTATTTATTTAGCTAATTATTTAGATAATCMAAAATATGATAATTAATTWTTYAAATTGTAATTTATTATCGATTATGTGGTTAAACAAAATAAAAAAATATATATAAATTTTTAATAATTTTATACATATATTTTTATTTGGTTTATTAAGTTTACATTGTTAATTAATTATATAATTAATAATATTTTTAAAAAAATATGGTTATCTGGTATTTATTATTATTATTATTATTATTATTATTGCTATTACGATATATACTATTAATCAATTAATTATTAATATGTAAATTTCAAAAAAAATAAACTAAAACATTAAGTTTATTTTGTTTGTTTTTCTAACATTATTTGTTTATATATATATATACAGTATATACATATATATATAACAATTAATCTATTATATTATTATTATAATACTGTATTATTATTATATTTATTAAATTAAAATTGGCACACTAGGTGTGGTTATTACAGTATTAATATTACTATTATTATAATTAGTATTATTGAACTAATTATGAAAAAATAAATTTGTTTTCGTATATATATTTTATTATAATTATTTTTTTATATATTAACAAATTAACATTAAATTTGAATTTTTTTTCAAAATTAACAAAYAAAMAAWAYTGAAAGACATTCAWTTTTTTTTGTTTCTATAATACAATTGTTAAATTTATAATTTAAATTTAATAAAATTTATTTTAATACACATGACTTTTTTTAGGGAAAAAATATAATAATAATAATAATAAATTTAAAATTTACATTATAATAGTCTAAATCCTTGACAATTACAAATAAATTAGTTAATATATATATATAATATTTTTACAATTAACTAATACATAATATATATATATATATAACTTTTGAAATTCAATGTGAATTTTTTTAAATGTATTTTTTTATTGTTGCTAAGTATTATTATTTTAATTTATTAATCATTATTAAAAATAATTATCATATGATATCATATTTTTATCAMTGTGTAGTTATTTAATTAAAGTAAATATACAYATAATATACTACTATAATATATATATATATATATTATAATTAATTTATTTTTTATTATTATTAATTCTCGAAACAAAATATTAATTAAAGTATTTTATTATTTTTATTGTTTCTTATCTCTGAATTATATATATATATATATATATAMTGTATATAGATATACATAATAATTATTTTCAAMAAAAAAAATAAAATTCAATTATACATTACTTATCCTATGATTCACTCACTACTACTAAATAATAATTATAATAACAATTAATACAAGTATTATTATAATATGTATATCCAGTGTATATATGATATAATGCTAAAACATTATACACACAYATATATATAGTATATAATTAATTAATACTTATAGTGATAAGTGTATAGTTTACAYACACACACACACACACACACACACACACACACACATACAYACACACACACACACATACACACAACTATAGACACAAAATACCTTATTATTAATGTTTTGAGAGAAAAAAATAATAAAMTATAAGTTTATATATATATATATATATATATATATATAAAGTATAATAATAATACTAATGACAATTAGCAGCGGTTATTATAATGATGTGTATATAATGAGATGACAATTGCTATTTAGTATTATATATATATATATATATATAATAAAATTTAAATAATAATAATAATAATAATACTGATTATTATGAGAGTAAAAACTTTTTTTTTTTTAARCAAAACCTTGAATTTTTTTATATGAAAGTAATTTTTTTCAAAAAATTTTCAAACAACTATTAAAATTAAAGTAAAAAAACAATTATTACAAAAAAAAGTATTTAAATATTTTGTTTTACTATTTAACTTTTAGTTTAACATTGTTTTGTGTATTTGTTGTTGTTGTTGTTTTGAATTAACATAATAAACGATTTTTTTAACTGAAATATTATTTAAATATATATATATATATATATATATTTAATGACTTTAATAATCATTAGCAATATTAYACTAATGAATATATTGTATATATTGTACTGTAATTTCTAAAATATTATTATTATTATTACCCCTTTTTAAAAATATATTAATGTGTTGTTTTTTTCAACAACAACAAAAAACAATGATAGTTAGTATTTTCACATAAAAATTATATACATTTTTGATTTATTTATTTATCTAGCTTATTATCATAATAAGTTTTTTTTCAAAATTTAAACTAATATAAAATATAATTTTATATTTATTATTTCATTATATACAGTATATATAAACAATTAATATGTATTAATTAATAAATTTTATATAATTTTATAATAATAATTATTATTATTGTCATTAGTAGTAGTAGTAGTAGTAGTAGTAGTAGTAGTAGTAGTAGTAGTAGTAGTAGTAGTAGTAGTAGTAGTAGTAGTAGTAGTAGTAGTAGTAGTAGTAGTAGTAGTAGTAGTAGTAGTAGTAGTAGTAGTAGTAGTAGTAGTAGTAGTAGTAGTAGTAGTAGTAGTAGTAGTAGTAGTAGTAGTAGTAGTAGTAGTAGTAGTAGTAGTAGTAGTAGTAGTAGTAGTAGTAGTAGTAGTAGTAGTAGTATCTATAAATTATTTTAATTTATTGTTATTATTAGTAGTATTTTTAATTTTTTGATTAAATATTTAGTAAATTTTATAAAACAAAAAAAAATAGTTATTTATATATTTGATAAAATCTATGACATCTGCAATAATTTTTTTCATATTGTGAAAGTGGGTACAAAAATTCATATATATATACAGTATATAAATATATTATATTAAATATAAATATGATATTCAATGGGGTAGTAATCTCCCTATTGTTGATATATATATATATTGAATAAACGCTTATATATATTGATATTTATATATATATATATATTTGTAACAATACTTACAGTATTGTAGGCATAATAGGCATATCTAAAAGGGACAGACCCTATGCTGAAGTGGTCTATCAATATAGTAGTAGTAGTAGTATAGGTGCCTCAAAAAAATTATGGATATATATATATACTGTATATATATTTATAGCCTGTATTTACAATATATATATATATATATATATATATATATATATATATATATATATATATATATATATATATATATCAAGTGGGTGCCCCTCTCYACAAACACACACACACACACAATAGGGTCCCCCCTGTCCTGTCTGACCCACCACTACTACCACCACTACTATTGTGTTGAAACCTACTGTCAAAAAGTCAACTATTATAATTCAAGTGTAGTTATGAATAGTATAGTATATTCAATACATATATCGATATATATATATTTCAATAGTTAATTCAAATATCAAGTGTGTTATTGACGTTATTATCGGCTATTTTCTCACAATTATTATATATCCGTATATAATATCTATTTATTTCTATATATTTCTAATATACGTATACTGTATATATATATATACTATTCATATATTGTTTACTATATATATATATATCTATATATATATATATATATATATATATTATACATTAACGTTATATAACGTTTTATTGAATAAATCATAAAGTTTTATAATTTTTTAATAATAATAATATCTAAATATATTTAATAATTGTTTTTATTTTTAAGGTTAAAGTCTGGTTTCAAAACCGCCGAACAAAACATAAGCGTCAAAAGGATGAAAACGGCGAACCGTGCGATGATAGCGACGGCGAGCACCGGGAGGTCGACGACGACGACGACGATGACGACGACATAGATGATGACGACTGTTTGGACAATAATGTCAACCATCGTATGGTTGATGGCAATGATAGCGATGGTGGTGTTGGTGTTGGTGGTGGGGATAGGGATGTCATGAGACACCAGAGTCATCAGAGACGACACAAAACGCCGATACCATCATCGGCCGATATTATCAACAATAGTAATCATAATAATAATAATAATAATAATAATAGTTATAGTTATCATAGGTTACATAATAATCATCATAATATCAATGGTAATTGTCATAATAATAATAATAGTGGCGCTAATTGATTGATTGATTGAAATTTGATTGTATAATATATTTATGATTTTCATATAAGATATGTATTTGTATTTGTATTAATATCCCTATTATAATAATATCAATTAATAATATTATTATTTTAATAATTATAATATTATTTTTTTTGTGAACTATATCTATCTATCTATCTATCTATCTATATATTATGATTAATAATTAATATCATAATCAATATCATAMACTAATTGTCTATATATWTATTAATTATATATATATGATTATTATTATTATTATTTGCATAATAATATAAACATGTATGTTTTTATTTTGATTTAAACCCACATATATACATTTGTAAACCTACACACACACACACACATACATACATACATACACACATTGATTATTACAATTTTTTTTAGAAAAAAAAACTTAATTATCATTTTTTAAATATATGAAATATAATTAGTATTTATTATTATTATTATTATAAGTAAAAAATAACAATATGTTTTTTAAACATTTCAAAATTCATAATATTATAATTTAAATTTTTTAAGTCAAAATTTTTTTTGACAGTTTATATTAGTTATCGATTATTATTATTATTATTATTATTATTATTATTATTATTATTATTATTATTATTATTATTATTATTATTATTATTATTATTATTATTATTATTATTATTATTATTATTATTATATAAAACTAACAGCTTGTTAAACAACTAATTAATTATTTATTTATTATTATTATAATCATTATACTAACGTTTATATCATATATCTATCAAAATATAAATATCTACAATATCTATGTGTATGTCAATAATAATAATAATAATACTAAACAAAAAATATTTAATAATTTTTTGATTGACATATTATTAAATGAGTTGTCAATTATTATTAAATATTATATATATATATATATATATATATATATATATATAAAAATAAAAATCTGTATAAATAGCAATAATAATAATATTAATAATATTAAACAAGTGTTTATATAAACATTTTAAATATTATTATTATATATWAAAAAAAAATTTTTTTGAAAAACAAATAATTGTTATCACATTATATATTTAAACAAAAAAATAATAATAATAAGCACACATTATCATTTATTTAAATTATTATATCATTAAAATATTTTTTATTTAATATAAATATTAAAATACATTTTTTTTAAAAAAAACATTTGACAATTTCAAACAATTTAATTTTTTTTTTTGAATTAAATTATAAATAATAATTATGTATTTAAAATAAAAATAAAATTTCAAAAATTTTCAATCATTTATATCTTTCAACAAACAAAATACTGTATTATATAATAATGATAATAATTTACTAAAATAAATAAATTATTGAATTATTGATTAATTTTTTTTTACTATATTTGTTGAATAATATGAGAAAATTTATTTTTCTCATCAAAAAAATTAAGTAAAATATATATATATTTAAATACTGGTGCCCAATGGGGTAACTGACCCAACAATTGTATGTCAATTCATACCTAAACATACCCTAAATTGACGCCTAACTGTCCAATAACTCTCACTAAACACTTGTCAATCAATTTGTTTGACATTTATTGTTGAAAAAATATATTATAACTCTCTCTCTCTCTCTCTCTCTCTCTCTCTCTCTCTCTCTCTCTCTCTCTCTAAACAATCAAAACTTGACATCAATAGTGAGTGAAAAAAAAATTGTGAGAAAAAAACAAACAAAAAATAAATTTTGTTGGTTTACTTGATTTAATTTTCTATTATTATTATTATTATTAGTTAAAACTTTCATATATTTCTATTAACAGGAAATGTTTAAGTTTAATAATAATAATAATCAATGTACTTTTATGTTTAAGTATACAATTGTTACACTTTTATTTTGTGGATACATATATAYATATATATAGTTGTACCTATGTACATTTTCATTCATATAAATGTTTGTTAAAATTCACAATGACACACACACATACATAAATACATAGACACACACATAAATACATACACATACACATACACATACACACATACACATACACATACACATACACACATACACACACACATACACACATACACACATACACACATACACACACACACACATACACACATACACACATACACACATACACACACACACATACACACATACACACATACACACATACACACACATACACACATACACACATACACACACACACATACACACACAACACACACACACATACACACATACACACACACACACATACACACATACACACACACACATACACACATACACACATACACACATACACACATACACACACACACACACATACACACATACACACATACACACATACACACATACACACACACACATACACACATACACACATACACACATACACACATACACACATACACACATACACACATACACACATACACACATACACACATACACACATACACACATACACACATACACACATACACACATACACACATACACACATACACACATACACACATACACACATACACACATACACATACACATACACATACACACATACACACATACACACATACACATACACATACACATACACATACACATACACATACACATACACATACACATACACATACACATACACATACACCTACACACACATACACTCATAAATATATATAAATATAATTTAATATTTAGACTATTTTGTAAACTATCAATAATAATTTAATTTTACTAATAAATATTTTTTTTTGTAAAAATCTTATAAATTTTTTAATTTTTAGATAAACAATTTTTTGTTAATTATATATATATATATATATATATATTATAAGTTACTGTTTTATTATAAATTATAAATTATAAATATTTAAAATACTGTAAATATATACTGAATATACTAACGCCATCTAGTGTTTCAACATTAAAGTATAAATACAATTACAAAAAAAAATATTTTCTAATTTAAATACTTTTTGATTTAAATATCAAAATCAAAATATTGGTTTATCATTAAATATATATATATATATATAATATTTATTAAATTAATTGAAATTAAAAGACATTTTTGTTTGTTTGTTTTTAAAAACATTTTTAATTAATTAATTAATTAATTAAAAATAACAATTATCTAGTTTTTTTTTGGAAACGATTCATAATATTTATGTAAATTATTTATTAGTGTATAATAAATGTGTGTTTTTATATAACAGTATATAAATACTATATATAACTCTCATATATAAACACATACAACAAACAAATATATATTTATATATATATATACTGTATATACAGTTACAAACACACACATTGATATACATACATATATATATATATAAATTATTTATTTTTAGACTAATAACCAAATATAGCTTACATAACATGCAATATAATCATAATATTTATACTGTAAACAAGTATACAGTAATAATATGTACTAAATTGTAAAATATTTAAATTGTAAACTATAAAAATTAATCGATAAATTGATCTTAAGTTTAAAATTAAAAAATTATTATTTTAAATTTTTTTTTTAAATATGAGTGTCGTATGTGTGGACATTGAATACTATTGTCTGGGAGGTTATGAACAAAAATATCGGGAACTGGAACAAGCAATACGTGGACGATTGAGGAACGTCCGGGTAAAGGGACAGCCGGGTCGGGCATATAGTTTTGAAGTTACCGTCAATGGTCTACTAGTTTATTCAATGTTGGACACTGGTACGTTTCCCGATCCACGCAATATTGTTATGCTAGTAGTCGATGCTGCTGGTGAATAATAATTATTAATTAATTAATTAATAATAATTATTTTAATTAATTAATAATTATTATTATTAATATTAATTAATAATTATTATTATTAATATTAATTAATAATAATTATTAATAAATATTTATAATAATGATAATAATTAATAATATTAAATTAATTAAATTTGTTCTTTAATAAAATTGAATAATCAATTTTTCAACCAAATTTATTATTATTTTTAATGTTTTTTTTATATAATAATAAATTTTGTGTTTTTTTGTGTTTGTTTATTGTAAATTGTATCATTAATTATATAAAAAAAAATAAAATAAAAATGTTTTATAATTTAAATAAAATCATCGGAAATTTATATAAATATTATTATTTGAATTATATAATTTTTTTAATAAATATATATTAAATTCTAGAATATTTATATAAATTATTTTTAAAAAAAAATTGTTGAACTTATTTAACACATTTAGTATCATCACGATTAGTTTTATTATTATTATTATTATTATTATTATTATTATTATTATTATTATTATTATTATTATTATTATTATTACCTTTAATTGTGTAATTATATATATATTGTTTTTATCAAAATAATATCAACTAAAACTAAACCTCAAAAACTAGGATAACATTTGATATATAATACAAATTATTATTTTTTTTSTTTATATAATAAAAAATATGTTTTCCTACACTTTTATACAAAAATAATATTAATAATAATTTTTTAAATTTTTTTTTTGGCTAACTATTTAATAATTTATTATTTATTTTGAACAAAATTATTGAACAAAAATAATTAAGTTGTAAATTAAAGTTTTTTATTAATTTTTTTTGTTGAAATTTATATTTTATTTTTTTTAATTTTAATTAATTTTAAATATTTTTTAATTTTTCTTCTTATTATTATTATTATATATATACAGTAAATACTATACTATGTTATTCAAACAGCTTATTGACCTAATGTTAACCGTAGGTCCCAATCTAATTGCTAGACTAACCGATCTAATCGTTGATACCCTACTAAACATACCCGCCTATATTGTTGACAGTATTTTCATACCGGGTATTATACTAACAATAACCCAGACACAATTGAAACACTCCGGGTATGTTAACCTACATGAGCCACTAGACACCTACGACTATATAGTCATAGGTGCCGGTACTGCCGGTTCGGTACTGGCCGGCCGACTATCGGAAAACCTAAGCATAMGTGTGCTGCTACTGGAAGCGGGTACGACCGAAAATATTGTAACCGACATACCCCGACTCAGCCAGTTAGGTCAGCTGATACCCGACATGGACTGGCATTTTWMTAGCGAACCACAGCAMCGGTCGGGTMGAGGTTTGGTCAACAATTCAACACCGTGGCCACGGGGCAAGTGTATGGGCGGTACGTCCGTATTGAACGGTAGGTGTGTTTGGTTACAATTATAATAATCTACATTATTTATACAGTATATTATTGAAAATTAATTAATTAGATATTAATTACATACTGTATATAAATAATAGTAATAGTATTTATGAATTACAATAATATACAGATTAAATACAAATTAAATTTTTTTAATATTATTAATAAATATTATAACACCAAACCATTTATTATTTTTTTAATAAAAATTTTATTTACTTATTTAATTAATTAAAAAATTTATATTTATAACATTTATTATATAGTATAGAGAAACTAAATTAGTATTATAATATTTAATAAAAATACTACAATATAAATATGTAATGCATATTATTATAATTGATAAATACTATTACTATTATTTATATACAGTATGTAATTAATATCTATATTAGCAACAAATAAAAACAAATAATTATAATTATAAATTAATTTTCAATTATATTTTTTGTCACACACACACACACATAAACACACCCACTATACCCCATCCCTCCATAGGTATGGTATACTCGCGCGGATCGCCCCGCGATTATGACGACTCGTGGGTTAAGTATAACGAAGCCCGGGGCTGGTCGTGGGCCGACCTGTTTCCATATTTTATCAAATCCGAGGACAATCAGGACCCCGAGCTAGTGGCCAGCGGGTATCATGGACGCGGTGGCCCGGTAACTGTATCCACACCTACCTACAGTGAACCAGTATCCATAGCATTCAGAGACTCAGGTCCCTCAGTTGGCTATCCGATTGGATCGTCGACTACCGGTCCACGGCAGACAGTGTTTGAACTACCACAGCATACCATACGTAACGGTAGCCGTTTATCGATGGCTAAGGCCTATCTGGAACCGATAGCCAAGGATCGGCCTAATCTACATATACTAACCAATAGTCTAGTTAGTCGGATACTGTTTGATACTGACAACGACAACAAACAACAAGTGTCGGCTACTGGAGTCGAGTATATTAGATGGGGTAACAAATTTAAGGTTAGTCTAACACCCGGTGCTGGTGGTGGTGGTGGTGAGGTTATACTGTCGGCCGGCGCTGTTATGTCGCCCAAAGTGCTGATGCTTTCAGGTATTTATTATTATTATTATGTTTTTTGAACAATTATGATACCGTATTTCATTGCATAATAAAACAGTATAATAATTAATAATATTGTTTTAAATATGTTTTAATTTATACACACACACACACACACACACACACACACACACACAAAACTATATTATTTTCAATAATAATAATTTTTATTAATATTTATCATGTACATTTAAAAAAAAGTTATATTAATGATAAATAACTATTATATAAAATAATTATTGTTAATAATAATAATAATAACCTTAATTAACTATTATATAAATAGATTGATTATAAATTTGTATAATAAAATAACCAGTAAATTAAAAAATATTTTATTTATTTATTAAAAATGTATTATTAAATAAATAGGCATTGGGCACCGGGATCATTTGGAAAAAATGGGAATCAAATGCCTGTCCRATTTACCMGTTGGCGACAATCTGGCCGAACATGTGGCCAACTATATGATGTTTACGGTAAATCAATCGTCGGTAACCTGGGATTTCATACGCGAGTCTACGCCACTGGAGTTTCTCCAGTATTACATACATAAGCGCAACAATTTGGCCAATAGTTTAGTGGAAGCGATGGCTTTTGTTAATACAAAATATGCCGATAAACGTAAAGACTGGCCCGATATTCAGCTACAGGTGTCGCCCGGTTAGTGAAATTAAAAAAAATAAAATAAATTAATAATAATTAAATTAAAAAAATAAATAACATAAACTATTAATAATTTAAATTAAACTTTTATTTTTAGAAAAATAATTTCTATTAGTTTAAACAAAAATTTAATATAAATAATAGTAATTAATAATAATAATTATTATTATGCAAATGTTTACTTACATTTATTTTGATTTTTTTCTTATATTAAAATATTTATTTAATATTTATAAAAAAAATTAGTTTTTTTCTTTTAAAAAATAATAATATTTATGAAATAATTAGATTCAAAATAATAACAACAAAAATAAACATTAATTAATTAAAGAATAATTTTTAAAAAATAATTATATACAATATGTTGTAAAATATATTAGAATTTAATTAATTAATTAATTAATTAATTATTTTATTTATTTATCTATTATCTCTACCAAACAACCAACCCATACCCTCCCTTTTAGCTACCATTGCCAGCGACTATGGACTGGTAGGTCGACATATGCTCCGGGTAGACGATCAGCTATGGCAATCAGTATTTAAACCCTACATAACTAGACAAACATTTTTTATAATACCGACACTATTGCGACCGAAATCCCGGGGAACTATACGATTGCGTTCCGGATGGCTACAATGACCAGCCAGTGATTGATCCTAATTTCTATGCACCCGGTACCAACGATCTACAGGTGCTTGTCGAGGGTATGAAATGGGCGCTGAAAATATGCCGCCAATCACCTGAATTGAAACGTTATGGTTGCCGTCCCATTCAAACGGTATTCCCGCAATGTCAGGATCAGTTGCCCATCTATTCCGATAAATACTTGCAATGTATGGCCCAGACATTTACCGGCAATATCTATCATCCGATAGGTACGTGCAAAATGGCTTCAACAGCGGCCAACCGGTCAGCTGTTGTCGACCCCGAGCTCCGTGTTTTGGGTGTCCGCCGACTACGGGTTGTCGATGCATCCATTTTTCCCGAACCCGTTAGCGGTAATCCTGTATCAGCCATTGTTGCCGTTGCCGAACGTGCAGCCGATTTGATCGCCGGTGGTGGTCGCCGACTGTTGCGACCAATGCGACCGCCGATGAGTGCGGCTATTATTGCCCGACTACCGGAGCTTCCCATACAATAAACTAACTACTGTTAAACAGTACTATACAATAGTATTAATTAAAATAGTGTTATTATTATTATTATTATTATAGTTTTTTTTAAATAATTTTTTTTTTAATTTAATATATGATATATTTATATTTTTTTTAAAAATTATTGTGTAAATTATTATTAGTATAATTATGTTTTTATTGTAGTTTTTTTTTATTTTAAATCAAATATATGATAATATATATATATAGTATATCATATACTATATGTAATGTCAACCTATTAAAGAATAAGCCTAATAAGGAATGAGTTTATTAAACAATTGATTTTTTGATAATTTGTTAATCAATTTTTGTGATTAATATCTCATTAATATTTATATGGCCTCTCAATTATAATCATATATATATATAACACAATTGTGACTACCTATAACAATATTAAGAACGTAAACAATAGTAATTTTAAAAAATAATTACAATTAAATTAACAAATAATTAATTAATTTTTAATTTTTTTATAACAATATATATCAATAAATATATTAACTAAGAAAACAATGACTATTATTATGATTTTGATTTACTTTATAATTATTTAGTCATTTGATTATTTTAATTAAGGAATGGATCACAAAACGATTGAATGACAAGTTATTAATATAAATTATGACAACAAATAATAAATTATTTACAAATTGTTATATACCTTATTACATCACATTAATGACCTCTATATAACAATAACATACACTACAAAATTTACCGTATTACAAAAATAATACCGTATTACCAAAAATAATACCGTATTACCAAAAATAATACCGTATTACCAAAAATAATAATTTTAATACCGTATTATATATTATTACCAAAAATAATACCGTATTCTAATATATATATATTCCAAGAATAATACTGTATAAAAAATAATACCGTATTACCAAAAATAATACCGTATAAAAAATAATACCGTATTACCAAAAATAATACCAAAAAAATAAACCAATAATATATTATAATACTATACCAAAAATAATACTATATAATACCGTAATACCAAAAATAATACCGTATTACCAAGAATAATACCGTAATACCAAAAATAATACCGTATTACCAAAAATAATACCGTAATACCAAAAATAATACAATACCAAAAATAATACCGAATCAAAAATAATACCGTAATTTCCATAAATAATAATACCGTATAAAAAATATCAAAAATATAATACCAAAAATAATACCGTATTATCAAAAATAATGTATTTAATACCTTATTACAAAATACAGTACTACCAAAAATACAATCTTTCCAACACCTTTACCTAATTCCCAAATTTTATATCGAAATACCATGTTTCCATAGAAATTTTGTATTTTAAATAAGTACCGTCCTATATAAATATTGTTTTAAATATGTACCGTCTTCCCATAGAAATACCGTGTTACATTATTAATTATATATGTAATTATATTATACCTTGTACCTAAAATTAATCTTATTTATGGTATGAGAAAATTAAAAAAATTATATGATATATATATACTTATATGAATATATATTTCTATATATATATAAAATTTGGGAATTAATAGTGAAAGATTATTTTTGGTAGATTATTTTTGGTATTACGGTATTATTTTTGGTAATAATAATTATTTTTGGTATTACATTATTTTTGGTAATACGGTATTATTTTTGTAATACGGTATTATTTTTGGTAATACGGTATTATTTTTGGTATTACGGTATTATTTTTGGTAATCTTATTTTTGGTATTACGATAATGTATTATTATTTTTTGATAATACAATTATTGAATATTGATATATTATATACAAATAGTACTAATACTAATACTAATACTGTACTTTACTAATAGTAAGGTTATTTATTTAGAGTCTTACGGTATAATGTTATAAATTTATAATCATTATATTTAGTGACATTATTGATGTCCATTTTGGTTGATATTTGTATTTTATATATTTTGTATTAAAATAAATTCATTCTTTAATAGGTTGACATATCATATGTTATATTTTATAAATATATGATATTCAATATATACAATAAATTTAATGATATAATGTAAATAATAATAATTATTATTTAATGATTAGATTATTGTAAATATTTAAAAAAACAATTTACTGTTTCTAATATGTATTTCTAATAACTATTGCAAATAAAATAAATAATTTATTATTATTATTATTATATTTTGTTTCTAATATATATATATATATATATATATATAGTAAACTGTATAAATTAATCTGATATAAATTTTATAACCAAAAAATAAACCAATTATTTATCTATAACTTATAAGTAGATTAAGTTTAATAATAATAATAATAATGATTACATTGAATCAAGTTTTCCATAAATATCTTTATAAATATCAATATAATTTCATATTGATTTCAAAATATAATACAATATTTACTTTGAATAATATTTATGATTTTAGTTAGAAAATTATTTTTAAAGTTTATCATTAAAAATTATATGGAAAATTACATATAATATAATAGATATATATATATATTGAATATATACTGTATATATAAATTAATAGGATTAAGATAACTAAAATAAATACAATACTGTATATTATATATATAAAGTATATCTTATTTTTTTGATAATGTATTAACAATAAAATATATTAAATATAAATTACAATATCATTGTATTAAATTGTAATCTAACAATAATCAAATAGAAATGTTATTATATATATATATATATACTGTATATAATGTATTTTATTAAAATATGATTATTATTATTATTAATATTTATACCTTAATTATAATTACTGTATATTATCACTTATAATTATATTTCTAATTTATCGATAATATGTTTTATATGATATCTAAAGTATATTACATGTATTAAACAACAACAAATAAAAAATATAATACCAGTAAATTAAATGTGAATAAAAACATATGTTTTATTTTTAATAAAAATGATTAAATCTTATCAAAAAATTATTTATATATATATATAGACTATTAATAATTTAATAAATTAACAATATATTAAAATTAACAACAAAAAAACACAAACAAATAACAAAAAAGTTTTTAAAAATAAATATTTATTATTTTATTTATTTTTTAAAAAAAATATCATGCAATTTGCTAGATCAATTTTAATTTGTTTAACCCTGATAACATTTTTAAGCATACAAATTTATGCCAATGTTGATCTAAATGAATGTTTAACATGTAAGTACCCTGTATAATTAATTAATTATATTTTTTAAAAAAACTAATAATTAAAATGTTTTTTTTTAAAAAATTAGATAACAATACTGAAAATCCATTTGAACTTAATTGGACACTAATTGACGATGGTACATTTATTATGGAAAATATAACACTAACGTAAGTAATATATTTTATTTTTTAACTTATAATATTAATTAAATTTTAATTTTTTAATATTTTTTATTAAAAAACTAAAAAATTTTTTAGTAATATACAGACACACAAAATTGTTGACTACTGTGGCGTCAATAGTATTAATATGTGTCCACTAAAAGTTGGCCATAATGTTACGTTTAACTTTAGATTTAAATTGCGTATGTTTTTTCAATATTTTACATATTAATAATTAATTGTTATATATATATGAACTACATTATAAAAAATATTATTCTGTTATTTAGGCAAATTTAGGCATTAATTTTTAATTGTAACATTAAATTGTAAAAATTATTTTTATAGACTACACATACACATACACAYACACATATATATATATATACACATACACATACACACACACACACACAAACATACACATACACATACACATACACATACACATACACATACACATACACATACACACACATACACATACACATACACATACAAACATACATACAAACATACATACAAACATACATACATACATACATACATATATATATATATATATATATATATATATATATATACATACATACACACACACACACACACACATACAGTACATACACACATACACAGTACATACATACACACATACAGTACATACACGCTTACATAAAATCATTTTTAAAAAATTAATTAATATATGATAATATATACTTTATTTTTACTTTACTATATTTTTAATATATATATATACWGTATATATATAACATTTAATAGCTATCGACATTGGACAATCTGATAATCTAAAAGTAGCATTGACATATTATGAACATTTTAAACTGTATAACGGTTCAAAATCATTTTATGTGGATGGCAACACTAGTCTAGTCAGTGGCTTGGATCCAACTAGGAAAATTTTGGATATTGACCAACGTAAATCAACTAATCAGACAAAACCATTGATTGAACATGATACAACTGTACAAGCTAGATTTACGTTCTACGTAATGGATATTGAAAAAATTGTAAGTTTATTAATTTTTAAAATTTAAAAAAAAATTAACTATTATTACTAATACACTGTTAGTAAGTTAACATTATTTTTTTTTTAATTAATAATAATATTATTTTTAGTATTATTATTAATAATTAGCAATATTTCAGTTAGTAATCAGTTTTTTTCCTATTACCAGTAAATTTAAATTATATTGAAGTTTTATTTTTATACAATAAGTTATTTATTAAACACTGGAAAATAAATAATTTTTATTTTTTTTTTAAATAAATTAATTCAATTAAATTAATGTTTGTTTTTATTTTTTTGTTGAAACATAGAACCCATTTCTAATGAATATCGATTTGGTCCACCAGACAACTGGCGATCCTACTCCTGGTAATAGTTTATCATGCGCAATGTTTAACGGAACATTTACTAAATAATTATATATCCTAGTTAATAAAATAAATAAAAATTATGTTTATTTAAAATTTAATTAACTAAACAAACAAAAAAAATATAGCAAGCTAACTTTTTAAAAAAATAATTAAAAAATAAAGTGTTCAATATTTTATTATTAATATCTATAATTACTATTTAAAATTTTTTGAATGCATGTTTTGGTACTTTTTATTGTCATAAACTTTCCATAGGATTCCAATAGTTTATACTCTATATAGAAAAGTACAAAAATTAATACTAATATTATTATTATTATTATACAGTATCATACTGTACTATGTAATGTACAATAGAGTACATGCGTTCAATGTTTGAATGATTAATGCTATGATAGGGCGGAGCTTATTATGACAACCCATACGTATGTATACATATAAATACTAATTTCATATATCTAGGTATACTATATATATGTTTTTCTGATACACTGTTTGTCAATTTATTTCAAACATTCATATATAATGGTATAATATTCTCCTCAAAAAAAAAATTATTAAATAATTATTATTATATTTATTTTAATTGAAAATATTTTTTTAAAAAAATTAAAATAATAATAATCTTATAAAATATAGTATAAGTTATAATTAAAATTAAGAAAAATATTTTTAAGAAAGAGATATATATATATATATATATATATATATATTATGGGAATATATAGTACAATACACTACATACTGTTAAACCCCATACAGTAAACACTGTTTACACTAAACACATATACAGTAGAGTACAGTAGTAGTAGTTGTTGTTATCAAACATACAGTGAGAGAGAGAGAGAGAGAGAGAGAGAGAGAGAGAGAGTCTATGTATATATAATACAGTAGTAATACTACTAATAAAATATAACAATATTTTAATTGAATGATTGAATTAAAAGACATTTAATACAGTATTAATACTATATATATATATATGATATATCAACCTTTTAACGGACGGATAAATTATAACAAATAATATAAACAATACATCTATCGATCAAAATGGGCATCAATTATGTCACTAATTAAGAAAATAATATTTTTTAATTTATATATGAAATAATACCGTAATAACTCAAATATATATTTAAACTATCTTATAAGCAATCATATTACCGTCTTCCCATAGTTAACTCATGTTTTTAAAATTAATACCGTATTCCCATATTAAAAATAGTTTTTTTTGAAAAAGTACCGTATTCCCATATTAAAAATAGTTTTTTTTGAAAAAGTACCGTATTCCCATATTAAAAATAGTTTTTTTTGATAAAGTACCGTATTCCCATATTAAAAATAGTTTTTTTTGATAAAGTACCGTATTCCCATATTAAAAATAGTTTTTTTTGATAAAGTACCGTATTCCCATATTAAAAATAGTTTTTTTTTTGAAAAAGTACCGTATTCCCATATTAAAAATAGTTTTTTTTGATAAAGTACCGTATTCCCATATTAAAAATAGTTTTTTTTGATAAAGTACCGTATTCCCATATTAAAAATAGTTTTTTTTGATAAAGTACCGTATTCCCATATTAAAAATAGTTTTTTTTGATAAAGTACCGTATTCACATATTAAAAATAGTTTTTTTGAAAAAGTACCGTATTCCCATATTAAAAATAGTTTTTTTTGATAAAGTAGTATTCCCATATTAAAAATAGTTTTTTTTGATAAAGTACCGTATTCCCATGTTAAAAATAGTTTTTTTGAAAAAGTACCGTATTCCCATATTAAAAATAGTTTTTTTTTGATAAAGTACCGTATTCCCATATTAAAAATAGTTTTTTTGAAAAAGTACCGTATTCCCATATTAAAAATAGTTTTTTTGAAAAAGTACCGTATTCCCATATTAAAAATAGTTATATGGTAAAAATTGTGAAAATCATTTAAATGTGAGGCTATACGGTAAAAATTGAGAATCATTTAAATGTGAGGTTATACGGTAAAAATTGAGAAAATCATTTAAATGTGAGGTTATACGGTAAAAATTGAGAAAATCATTTAAATGTGAGGTTATACGGTAAAAATTGTGAAAATCATTTAAATGTGAGGTTATACGGTAAAAATTGTGAAAATCATTTATATGTGAGGTTATACGGTAAAAATTGTGAAAATCATTTAATGTGAGGTCATACGGTATAATCTAATGATTTTATACAATTTTTAATTTTTGGTCATAATTTATGGACAAAAATTTTTAATTCAATGTTTTGTGGTCCGTCCGCTGAATGGGGATTAGAGAAAAATAATTTAATAAATTAATAAAACTATTTTTAAAATTTTTTAAAAATTTATTCTCTTTACTAATATTTTCTTAGATATTTAACCTGTATATAAAAAATAAAAAATTAATTAATTAATTATTAGTTTAATTATAATTAATTTTCAAACTTACCCTTTATTTCATCCACTATTGCGTTAACCAGACGTTGTCCTAATTGGGATCTAATTGTGAATTTGTGTCCAATTTTTTTACTAATTTTACATTACTTTATGAGAGGGCATATAAATAGCTCTCAAATGACCCCTTTATGACAACAATTGATTAACAAATAACATAAATATTTAATTATTTAGTTTATCCGTCCGTTAATTGGTTATCCACTGTTAGGTGGATTTATAATATATACAGTAAATATGTATAAAATATTTTTTATTAGTTAATAATACAGTATTAACTTTTTATTTAAAAAAAATAAATAAATAAAATTATTTTATTAATTATTATTACTATTTTTATTACTACCAGTGTTTTAATAAGTCATATATCATATAATAATAATAATAAAAAGATATTAATTAATAATAGTTATTAAAAAAAATTAATAATAATAATAATAATAATTACTTATTATTTGTAACAAACAGTATTAAAAAAACTAAAAAAAATAAATTATTTGTTTTAAGTTATTATTAGGTATTAATAGGTATTAATATAATAATAATAATAATAATAAAAACGTGTTATTAATATACAGTATATTATATCTTAATTATTATTATTATTATTATTACTTAAATACAGTATTAATAATACATAAGTATTATAACAATAGTGTTGTTGTTGTTGTTATTGTTTATATGATATCAAACATAATATATCATTAAATAGTTTTTTTTTCAATGTTGTTGTTGTTATCAATCAATTGATTGATATATCAATATTATCTCATCATCAGTGGTATAGTAGTAGTAGTAGTAGTCGGTTATCACATCCATCACCAACAGTGACAATGATGACAATGATATCACTATAGTGTTGCCACCGTTATTGAGGTAACGGTAGGTTTGATTTTGCGGTATAGACTTTCCCCTCATAAACATAAAAACCAATTGGTTTTATTGTCTTCATCGTAGTCATCATCATCAGTGTCACAGCTACTTAACCAGACCTTATAACCTACCAGTGCTGCTGCTGGTCATCAATCAATCAATCATCACATCAACCGACCGACCAAACCAACCAACCAAACAAACAGCCGCCGGCAGCCACTCAAGCCATACACCAGTAGATCCCACCAGTAAATGGCAATTATCGCCATCAATACCGCCGTTAGTCGTCGTACAGCTGTTGTCGCCGCCGCCGCCGTTATTGCCGTCATCACTGTCACTACCACTGCCGTTACCGCAGCCGCCGTTGTCGGCAGCAATACTAATACCAATACTACTACTACTACTGGTCGCCAATTATTATCGTTAAGCTCTTCCTTATCGTCGTCTTCGTTGTCATCGTCGGCGACCACTTCCGCCGCCGCCGCCAACTCTATCAATGACCACAAAAACAACAACAATGTCGTCGTCAACGATGACGACAATACACAACCGCCGCCGCCGACTACGGCCAACGATGAACACTCGACAACTATGCCTATATGGCTACAGATATCCGTATTGGTCCTATTGTTGGCCATGTCTGGACTGTTTTCSGGTCTCAATCTCGGACTTATGACACTGGACAAGAACGAGCTCAAGGTATTATTATTATTTGATATCGGGTGGCGGCCATAAACACAACCACCACCCGGTGCTCATATAGTAGTAGTAGTAATCGGGAGATAGACCTCTCACGGGTAATCGGGTACTAATCTCGACTCTCTCTCTCTCTATCTTAACAGGTGATTGAACGGTGCGGTACCGAACAGGAGAAGCAATACGCCCGCCAGATAACCCCGTCCGCAAACGTGGCAACTATTTGCTGTGTACGCTATTGTTGGGCAACGTACTGGTCAATTCGGCGCTGACCATATTCCTGGACGAGCTAACCAGTGGCCTGATAGCCGTTATTGCCTCGACAATGGCCATCGTAACGTTCGGCGAAATTATACCCCAAGCCGTATGCTCGCGACACGGTCTGGCTGTCGGTGCCCGTACCCTGTGGTTGACCTATTTGTTTATGGTCTTGACTTTTCCGCTGTCGTATCCGATATCGAAATTGTTGGACAAGATTTTAGGTTAGCTATGATTTTAAGTTTGTATTTGTTTTTTTCTGTGTGGGGTGGGGTGCGGAGGTGGGACTACCGATAATAATAATAGCATTTATTTTGTTAATTACGAGTAATTATTATTATCTGTAATAGTATTGATATTATTATTATTATTATTGTTAATATGGATCAAAAATTTGTGTGTATGTGTGAAATATTAATAATATTTTTAAAAATTTTATATWTATATTTTTAAATAGTTTTAATACTTAAAAACATTTTTTCCTAGTATTTAGTGATTTATAATAAAAAATATTTTTAGTATAGTATTATATCTCATTAATTAATGACACGTATTATCCCATGTATTGCCAAATAATAATAATATATAGATATTATTATTATTAATCATCAATATTATAAATCAATGAATTTATATTTTATTTATTTTTTTTTAGAAAAAATATATTAATAATAATAATTTAATTTTTATGTTATATACAGTTAGTTATTTGACTTATAAATATCACGTTCAGATTATTTTTAAAAATATTATAATTTGTTATAAAATATATTAAAAATTGCTTTACTCTTCAAAAAAAATTATGTCAATGTTATGAGTRTGTGTGTGTAAGTATGTATGTATGTRTGTGTGTGTGTGTGTGTGTGTGTGTGTATGTGTGTGTGTGTGTGTGTGTGTGTGTGTGTGTGTGTGTGTGTGTGTGTGTGTGTGTGTGTGTGTGTGTGTGTGTGTGTGTGTAGTACTGAATAATAAAGATATGAATAAATAATTTTTGTTAAAATTATAAATACAAAACAAATGCACAGACATTCATACAATTGATTTATTTAAATATCTATTTAAAAAAAAAAAATTATTGATTTTAATTAAATGAATTGATTTTTTTTTATTTATTTATTTTTTTAAATTTTCAGGCGAAGAGATCGGCAACGTCTACGACAGGGAACGCCTAATGGAATACATTCGGGTAACCAAAGATCACAATCGGTTAGACGCCGATGAAGTCAACATAATATCGGGTGCACTGAAACTGTCGAAAATGACTGTCGTCGAAATAATGACACCCATCAGGGATGTATTTATGCTACCCTACAATACCGTATTGAACTACGAAACCCTGACCCAGATAACCGATAACGGCTATTCGCGGATACCCGTTTACGAGTCGGATAAAAACAATGTTGTGGGTATATTGCATGCTAAAGATCTGGCCCTAACCGATCCGGACAACCAGATGCCCATCAAATCCATACTAGAGTTTTACAAACATCCACTGTATTTTGTTTACGAAGATGTTACCCTGGATATTATGCTCAATGAGTTTAAACAGGGTTAGTAGTAGTAGTAGTAGTAGTAGTAGTAGTAGTAGTAGGCACTGGTAGGTGATGGCCAGTCATCCATCAGCTGAGAGAGAGAGAGAGAGAGAGAGAGAGAGAGGGTATATCCACTCAGTGACCGTTAGTTACACACAAAATATATTTTGATATAATGCTTATCAAATAGGTTTTAAATACTATAATAACAGTATATATATATCTATTATCTACCTGTGCTAGTGGTGTATGTGTGTATTAGTTACTACATACCTATGATGCCGGTCATCTGATTAATCTCTCTCTCTCTCTCTCTCTCTCTCTCTCTCTCTCTCTCTCTCTCTCTCTCTCTCTATTACTTAATTAAAATTGTCTAACAATTTGCTAATCGTTATAATTTACAGGTAAATCGCATATGGCTTTTGTCCGGCGTATCATTGACGACGGTATCAACGATCCGGTCTACGAGTTGGCCGGTGTTGTGACTCTGGAGGACGTTATCGAAGAGCTAATTCAGGCAGAGATTAACGATGAAACAGATGTCGTCAGTAAGTAGTAGTAATAGTAGTAGTAGTAGTGGTAGTGATGGTAGTAGTCGTTCAAACAATTGGTTTTTAATTTTATTGTTGTTGTTGTTGTCTATCATGTGTTTTATGTGTGTGTTATTACGGTATTAGTATTAGTATTAATTATTTAATACCCTGGTATTTATAATCCAGAGTATTTTGTTTTATGTTTATTTTATTACCCCTTTTTTAAATAGGTATTAACTATTGTTGTTGTTGTATTATAATTATTATTTTAATTTTTTAAGTACAAAAAATATATATATATAATTTTTTTATTAATTAGTAGATAACAAACTAGTATTAGTTAGTAATTGTTTAGTTATTTATTGGTATTATAATTATTATTTTATTTTATGTTTTATTATTGCATTTATATAATCTTTTTATTTATTTATAGATAATTTAAATAATATTTTATTTATTTATAGATAATTATTTACTATATATTGTAGTTTATACCGGTATTAACCCAATATAGTGTATATACTRTATATATATATATATATATATATATATACTAACCAGTTCCCCCCCCCACCCAACCTACCAGTCCTATCATATGACACCCCCTCCTCCCCCCTATTAATATAATCACCCGCTTTAATAATAAAGATTTATTAGATTATTATTAATTTATTGTTAGATAACAAAAAAAATATATTTAATAATTTGATAGTCATCTATATATATATATATATATATATATTTATACGTCTATTATAATGTAATAATTAAAAAGTTATAAAAAATATAATCATATTTTTTATGGCCTACAGATTTAGTCATAAATTTAATTAAAACCCTTTTTTGATATTTATATATATATATATGTATTAAATAAGTATTATATTTATTAAAAAAAATAATTATCAATTAATAATTTATTAGTTGATAATTTTGTATTAAAAAACTTATGTTTTTTTTGCATTTAATACCAATTATATTTATTATTATGTTATTATTATAGTTATAATTGTGATAACAAAAATTTAATATACTTTTTAGTATTAATACCACTATTTAATTAATTTATTTGATAATTTAGTTTAGTTTTTAATGTTTTAAGTGTGTGTGAAAACTACAATAATAACAAAAATTTAATTCAATTAATCTCACTGTTGTTGTAGTATTTAATAAGTATTATCTATAACTTATATATATATATATATATATATATATATATATATATATATATTAAGTTAATTAAACTTTATTAATAGTTTAGTATAGTATAGTACAGTACGATATATAGTAATTATATTTAGTTTATTATTGATATTATAATACTTGAAAATTGATAATTTATATGTATTTGTTATGATTAATAACATAAAACACTTGTTATTATAATTCAAGTACTTTTTAAACACACACACACACATTAATCATTAGTTATATGTATGTGTATGTATGTGTATGTATGTGTATGTATGTGTATGTATGTGTATGTATGTGTATGTATGTGTATGTATGTGTATGTATGTGTATGTATGTGTATGTATGTGTATGTATGTGTATGTATGTGTATGTATGTGTATGTATGTGTATGTATGTGTATGTATGTGTATGTATGTGTATGTATGTGTATGTATGTGTATGTATGTGTATGTATGTGTATGTATGTTTATGTATGTATGTGTATGTGTATGTGTATATGTTTATGTATGTGTGTGTATATGTTTATGTATGTGTATTTGTGTGATTTTTGTGTTTGTGTGTGTGTGTCTATATGTATGTGTATGTGTTTATGTATGTGTGTCTGTGTATTTTTGTATGTACTGGTATAATGTGTTATCATAAAGTAAATAAAATTTATTTTGGTTTTCATATTTGTAATTAATTAGATTAGATAATTCAGTGTATTTCAAAAAGCAATTGCATTAATAATAAAAATTAAATAAAAAACGGTTTTTTTTATTAATTATTACCGGCAATGTGTCTATAAATAAATTTTTTAAAAATGATAATACAATTGACATATTGATTGTGGGGTTAATTTTGAATGTTATTTTTGTTGTTGGTTTATATTGTTTATCAATTGACTCAAATTTTTAGGTTTTTCCTTTATAATCCAAAATTTATTTATTTTTATTTTTGTTAAAAACATTAATTTATTATTAGTATTTAAAATTATTAGTAATTTTTGTTTAATTTATTATTATTAGAAATTTTTTTTAATCATTAATCCACAAAACAATTAAAAAACACAAATAAATTTTAATTATTAATTTTATAATTATATAAAAAAATTGTATTATAATTCTAATAATTAAATTTCTACACAAAAAATATCTATATATTTTATTTCTAATTGAAATTGTATTTTATTAATAATTTTAAAATTTTTTTACAATTTTTTTCAATTTTTTTAGCCGATAATCGACGCAAAATGAGGCGCAGGGATGCCTCCGCTCGACCTAATTATTCCGATTTTATTAAACTGGGAAATGATGTTTCATAATAATAATAATAATTAAAAAAATAGTAATATATAATATATAAGCTCACATTATATAAATAAATAAGTAATTAAATTATTTAAAACAAACAAAAAAGTAATAATAATATTAGTAATTTAAAAGATATTTTTAATATATATATATATAKATATATATATATATTATTAAGTGATATATAAAACTATTTAATTAATTTATTTAAACAAAAAAAAACAATACGAAATGTTAACTTAATTATTATTATTATTATCGATACAATACAGTATTATCTTTTAAAAAATAATTTATAAATAAATTAATATAAATATATATATATATATATATATATATATATATTGAATATATAATGTTATTATTATTATTATTTATATAAGTCACTGAAATTATTTATAATAAATAAAAAACTAAAAAAGCTATGTTAATGAAAAAAATATATAAACAATTTTTTTTGGTTTAAAAATAGATTTATTTTATTTTTTTATGAATACTAAATGAAAGTATAAATAAATAAATGAATGTTTTTTTTAAAAATATTAGCGATAATTGAATTATAAATATTTATAAATAAAATATATATATATAATTAAAAATTGTTAATTAATAATTTAAATGTTATATTAATATAAATTTTTGTGTATTAGTTATTTTATCAATTTAAATTAGCATGGTAATTTAAACAAAAAAAAATACTAATATATGATAATATTGTATTTGATTGATTATTGTTGAAAAAAATATAATTAAAAAAAATAATTAATTATAATTATCGCAATTAAATAATAATAAAATTATCAGATATTTCTAACTAATGACTAATTGGATAATAATTTAGTTTTAGTGTAGATTCTGTGCATAACTTTATCATAGATTAGTATATTATTATTATTATAATTATTTAATCAATAATATTTATATTTTTATCAAATAATAATTGCCAAATATATATATATAAACTAATATTTTAAATTATTTATTTATATTATTTATTATTATTATTTTTGTATATTAAAATTGTATTTAATTTTAACAATAATACTACTATACTAATAATAAATTGTTATTATATTATATTTCAAATTATTTTTTTAAAAACAATAATTGCATAATTGATGACAAATTGTAGAGCAATAATAATAATACCAGTAATCATATACAATATTACAAATAAAAAAAATAATTATATTTATTTATGTAAAAATACAGGTATATATATATAATTTATATGTAAAATAAAATTGGTATATGTATTGTATAATCAAAAAATAAAAATAAAAACAAAATTAATCAATTATTTAATAGCATATATATATATATATATATATATATATATATTGCACGCAAATTAGTTATTAAAAATATGATTATTATTAAATATATTGTTGATATAATATGCAAATTAAACTACAAGTAAAATATTATGACAACAATACATATATGATTACTACTACTACTACTACTACTACTACTGTATTGTCTTATAATATAATATAATAATAATAATATTATTATTACCCAAAATAGATATAAAAAAATATAATATATGATGATTTTTTAGTTGTAATTTTTTTTTATTATTTTATATATATTTTTTTCTGAAAATTTATTATGAAATAATTATATATTATAGTATCCATAGATACCTAATGTAAAAAATTTGACTAAACATTGCATAGTTTAATTGTCTTTAAAAAATTAAATAAAGCTTATATATATATACTGTATATTAAGTACTTTTAAGTGCACTAATTTACTAATGTACCAAGATAATTTTTTCAAATATAAATATTGAATAAAAATTGTTGAAATAAATTATTTTATTATTACTGTATTATATATATATATATATATTTGTTATTTAATTATAAATATAATAATTATTATGATTTTTATGTTGTTTGTAAATCTGCATAAATTTTTCAATAATAATAATAATAATGAAAATTATAGTTTTATAAAAATATTAATAATTATTATTAAAAATAAACAGTAACTTTAATAACAGTAATATTTAATTAATTAATTAATAGATTTTTTCTTATATTAGTTATAATTAATTGTAAAAAAAAATAATAACCAATTAATTAGTTGCAAATATTCTGTCGCTAATTATATTACCGTTAATCAAGAAAATGGTGACCAAAAACACCGGCGGACGAGTAGGTGATGTTGAAAGTGTCGGCACCGGCAGTGATGGTAAACCACAGGGTTATACTGATGAAGAAAAAGCTCAGATGAAACGTTTTACTAAGGGATCCATTGGACCGATGATATTGGGACAGTTGACGGCCGTTATTGTTATCATATTGACCGTAACCGATGTCATTGATTTCAGCAAATTGGTTGACATTGATATCGATTCATTGGCGGACATACAGTCCCGTATAGGGTATGTACTGTTTGTATGTATGTATGAGATTGAGAGAGAGATGAGAGAGAGATGAGAGAGAGATGAGAGAGAGATGAGAGAGAGATGAGAGAGAGATGAGAGAGAGATGAGAGAGAGATGAGAGAGAGAGAGAGAGAGATGAGAGAGAGATGAGAGAGAGAGAGAGAGAGAGAGAGAGAGAGAGAGAGAGAGAGAGAGAGAGAGAGAGAGAGAGATGAGAGAGAGATGAGAGAGAGAGAGAGAGAGAGAGAGAGAGAGAGAGAGAGATGAGAGAGAGATGAGAGAGAGAGAGAGAGAGATGAGAGAGAGAGAKAGAGAGAGAGAGAGAGATGAGAGAGAGATGAGAGAGAGATGAGAGAGAGATGAGAGAGAGATGAGAGAGAGATGAGAGAGAGATGAGAGAGAGATGAGAGAGAGATGAGAGAGAGATGAGAGAGAGAGAGAGAGAGAGAGAGAGTTTTCATAATTTTTCAATATTATTATTACTTTWTWTTATATATATATCCCACTTCTCGCCCCCCAAACAGCTATGTCCTACGCTATTCAACTACCGGTGTCCTATGGCTACTCCGGTGTTTATTTGCCGTAATGCTTGCACGGGTACTATCGCCGGCCATGGATCCCACTGCCGGTGCCGATCATCTGTTGACAACCAAAAAGAATGTCCTAAACAATTCCGTTGAACAGTTCATCCTATCATTCCTATCCCAACTGATACTTGTCCAGCATTTGACTAGTGAACAGACAGTCAAATACATACCTGTGCTGAGTCAACTGTTTATTATAGGTAGGGTTACGTTTTGGTTAGGCTATCCCAAGTATCGGTTGTTCGGGTTTATGCTGAACATTGTACCCCTGGTTATTACAATGGTCTACAATGCCTACAAATTTTACGAAAGCTATTTGTTTATATTTAATTAAAATTTAATTATAATTTAATTAAAAATTATAATTAATTTATTTTTTTAATTATCAACAAAATTTTATTTGTAATATATAATTGTAATTGTCAATTGTATTTATTTAATGTTAAAAATTAAGTTAATTTATTAATTATTAATTATTATATTTATTTATTATGATTATTATATTTATTAATTTATTATTAATTATTATATTTATTTATTATGATTATTATATTTATTAATTTATTATTAATTATTATATTTATTTATTATTTGTAATAAATTACTGTACTAATTAGTAAATTTTATTTTTTTTTAAATATTTTTAATGTAAAATAATAGTCTATATTCTACTGTAATTACAATATAATAATAATTAAAAAAAAAAGTTTTAATTTATTTAATAAAACAATAATTAATTAATTAATAAGTTTTTTTAAAAAATTTTTAAGGACGTACTTAATGTGTGTGTTTGTATTATAYATATATATATAGATGTAGTGCGGGTTAGCCCAACATTCATTGTTTATGTTTTCATAGATGTATTAGTGTGTGTTTGTATGTGTTTGTATACAGGTCGGCCAACATTACATTACATTTTACATACACACACACACACACATAGCTGGCAGTGCAGTCAAGTCCATAGTAAAGGAGATCTAATTAAAAAAAAATAAAAATTACTGTAAATTATAAGTCAAAAAAAAAGTTATTATTTTATTTTATTTTTTTTGCTATCAATTATTTACTATATTATTATTTATTTATTATTAGTATAACTATTATTATTTTTTTGTTAATTATTAAACTGATACGGTAACTTTTCATTGATATAATTTATTTTTAAATAAAATAAATATTTTTTTTTAACAAAAATAATATTAATAAATATATAACTTATTGATAGTAAAAAATAATAACAAATATTTTTCAACTTTCAAATAATTTTTTTAACAAAAATTAGTTAATTATTAAGAGTATAAATGTTTTAATGTTAAAATTTTAAAAAAATAAATATTTTTTGTTAACAAAAATAATATTAATAAATATATAACTTATTGATAGTAAAAAATAATAACAAATATTTTTCAACTTTCAAATAATTTTTTTAACAAAAATTAGTTAATTATTAAGAGTATAAATGTTTTAATGTTAAAATTTTTTAAAAAAAATTAGTTAATTAATTTTCAATCATTATAGTGTATAATTAGATTATAATTATTTTTTTTCAAAAAAAAACATTAATTTTTTTTATTTTAGTTTAAAATTTTTCTAATTTATTTATATTCTCTACTTTTATTTATTGATTTAATTAATTTTTTTTTAAATAAATTTTATCATCAATTAAATAGTTACAGTAAATTGATAATAGTATACAAAAAAAAAATATAATTAAAAACAAAAATTATTTTTTATTAGCTAATAGTATCTGTTTAACGTTAACGGGTATTTGTCGGACAATACGCTCATGTAGTCCAGCCCAGGCAGTAGCCCTACCCGTAGCCAACACACCCGTCTCGTTCATATACTGGCCGCTCAACGGTTCGTACGCTAACCGTTGGCCAAAAACATCGGTCAGTCGACCGCCAAAACATTCCAGTACTGCTTCCGCGGCACAGGTATCCCATTTTTTCGTACCCCTACTGGGAAATACATAGGCATGAGCTACGCCTTCCAGTACTTGTATGACCTTATGACCCGAACCGCCCACACGTAGGACTTGATCGGCTCCCAGTGCTTGCAAAGTATCAGTAATCGATTGATTACTATGCGATCGGGTAGTGGTCAGTATAAGTAGGCCGCCATCGGGTGGCGACCAATGTTCTACACCAACAACACTGTCGGGGGTAGACCTATCAGACCCCATATAGATCGGCCTAATCGCTGGTCGTCGACGGTTTGGTCGCTGTCGGTATCGTTGTTAAGGCCGTAAAACGGCTGATGTATAACACCGGCTACTGCCCGACCCCTGACCGACAGGCCTATCAGGACAGTCACATGTGTGAGTAGACCTTCGGTAAATTCGGCCGTACCGTCCAACGGATCGACCCATACGGTAATATCTTCGGGACGAACCATACGCCATTCATCCGGGCAATCGCACTGAAGTACCTGATCATCGCCGACGGTAACTATTGGCTGGTCTAACGGTCCATCATCGGCGTCGTCGTCTTCTTCACCGATTACCCGAACCGACGGAAACTGTCCTTTGATTGATCGTACGATCAATTGCTGTGATCGTCGGTCGGCTTCGGTTTGTAGATCTTTGGGTCCCGTTTTCTGCCGAACTCCCAGTTTACCCGATCGCCGAACTTGGCGGACAACGGCACCCGCTTGTCGGCTGCAGCTAACCGATAGGGCCAGTAGTTTGATGACCAGATTATCAGTATTAGTAGTATTATTATCTGTATTTTCACTCATAATTATTGTTATTAATAAAGTTATTAATTAAAAATAATAATTAAAAAAAAGTTTTGAATATAGTTTTTGAAAAAATAAAATATTTGTAAATTATATTAATATTTAGTTATTTTATAAAAATGTTATTATAATTATTATATATATATATATATATTTTGTTAGTTTAATAGTGTTTAGTAACTTTAAATAATAATACTAATAATAATAAAATATTATTATAATTATTAGTAAATTTTTTGTTATTGAAAAATTTAAGTTAAAATATTATTACTAGTAAAATAACATTGAATGATAATGGTGATGTATGCATATATTTTATTTATTTTTTTTTTAATTAAAAATAGGTTAAGTTTACATAAATATATGAATATATATTATAATAAAATTTTTTATATATACAGTTTATGATATTTGATTAATCATTTATCATAATAAATATTTAGTTATTTAGTTGAAATATCTAACTAATGTTAATGTTATTGTTGGAAAATATTTTTCTAAAAAATTTATAATAATATTTTAAATAAATTAATTAATATATTATTTATGTAATAATAATAATAATAAATATTTTTTTTACATTAATTTGTAATTTTAATTTAAAAAAGGGATCTCAAAAAATAAAATATATTATATTAGTTTTTCAAAAAATAATTTTATTTAAATTATTAAATTTATCTAGCATAGTTAATCTAATTTTATAATAATAATAATGTATTATAAAAATAAAAATTACATAATTTAACAGAAATATTTTTTCTCATAAAAAATAATTAATAATTAATATAAAAATTATTAATAATAGATAATTAAATAAAAATAATCTTATTTTCAATTTAAAAATTAAATCATGTTTATATTTTGTATAATTAATTAATTAATTTAGTTAATAGTTATTATTAAACTAAAAATTACAAACATTTATCATTTAAAATAATTTAGTATTTAATATGATTAATAATAATAATAAATAAGTTTCAACTAATAATAATAAGTAATATTAAAAAAACATAATAATGTATTTATTAGAAAAATAAAAATTACATAATTTAACTGAAATATTTTTTTATCATAAAAAAAATAAATAGAAAAATATTAATACTGTATTTTWTATATATAAAAAACAATCAGGTGATTTCTAATTATAATACAATATTTTTTTTTTTACAATTATTAATCAGTTAGATATAATATATTTTAAATTATATATATATATATATATTAATAATTTAATTATAATMTATCTGTATATTAATTATGTTATTTAAAAGGCACTTAATGTTGCAATTATTTCTCAATTACTGTACTTTTTTTAATAGTTGCTTTTTATAAACTAATGATTATATTATATATATTATAAAATACTAGAAAAATAATGTGATTAAAAAAACTAATCTATAGATAAAATAATGTATAAATTATATATAAAAAGAGAGAAAATAATAATAATTAAACTTTAAAAATCACAATTGAAATTAATAAACTTATTTTTTTTAATTGTGTTAATTATTTTCACAATTTATTTTTAATATATATATATATAAATATAAATTGTATAATATGCAAAATTTAACTAGATCACTTATAGTATTATTGGTGCTATACTATGGCACTGTTAGCTCAATTAGTTTAGATGACAGTAGTAACAGTGGTGCTGATGCTGGATCTAACTGGGCTGTAGTAGTATCGGGTGCCGATACCTGGTTCAATTATGATATGCAAGTATGTACAGTTAGATATATCTATATAAAATTATTACCTAGGATATATTTGTTTTAATTTAACTAACTTGTCTATATATATCTATATTAGGCCAGTACCTATCATGTCTATCAATTTTTACTATCAAACGGTATACCCGAAGATCATATAATAGTTATGCATACGGACGACATTGCCTACTATAGTAGAAATCCGACACCAGGTGTTGTTATCAATGAACCAAACGGTACGGATGTCTATCACGGTGTGCCCAAACATTATACAGGAAAAGATGTCACTCCCCAGGTATCTATGTGTATGTGTGTGTGTGTGTGTGTATGTRTGTGTATGTGTATGTATGTATGTGTGTGTATGTGTGTGTATGTGTGTGTATGTGTATGTATGTGTATGTATGTGTGTGTATGTGTGTGTATGTGTGTGTATGTGTGTGTATGTGTGTGTGTGTGTGTGTGTGTGTGTGTGTGTGTGTGTGTGTGAGAGAGAGAGAGAGAGAGAGAGAGAGAGAGAGAGAGAGAGAGTGAGAGAGAGAGAGAGAGAGATTTTAGTTGATTTTATGATTTTTAYGATAATTTTGTTGTTGTTGTTGTTATTGAATAGACTTTCCTTAAAGTATTGAAAGGCGATGAGGAGTTGGCTAAACAGGGACGTCGTGTACTGAAAAGTGGACCAAACGATAACGTTTTCATCTATTTCAATGATCACGGAAGTGATGGTAAGTGAGGCTAACACAAAAATTGAGCTAGCTAGTTTTTTATTTATTTATTATTTATATAGCTATTTTATATATATATATATATATATTTTTAAAATAAAATAATTTGATATAAAATAAAAACTAATTATTATTATTACGGGTATTATATACTATAGATTTAATATGCTTTCCCAATGGCTATCTCTATAGTAATCAACTAAATGATGCCTTAAAATATCTGTTTGATAATAAACGTTATGCAAAACTTGCCTTTTATTTGGAGGCTTGCGAATCGGGTAATTAAAAATTTAATTTAATTTAAAAATTTAAAAAATTGAATTTAAAAAAATCTATATTTAAAAAAAATCATATCATAGGCTCAATGTTTGCCAAACTATTGCCAAACAATACCAATGTCTACGCTATAACATCGTCGTCGCCAACTGAGCTATCCTGGCGTATGTACTGCGATTCAGTACTGGGCAGTTGTCTGAGTAGGTGTTCCCCTCTCCCACCCCACCCCTCCCCCCCAATTCCCTGTGCCATTGTTATTAACAGTCATTTTTTTTTTAATTAGACGATCATTTTACCTATCATTGGCTATTGCATAGCCAGTCGCACGATATGAGGACAACCACACTGGACGACCAGTTCAAGTATATGGCCGCCCATTGGAATACAACATCAAGGAAAGGGTCATATCATGTACAACATGCCCAACAATATGGCGATCCATCGGTAGCCAAATTGCCACTGTCACAGTTTATGGGTATATAAACAAATAGATAAATTATTATTATTATTATCATTATAAACTTATTATTTTTTTTAACTTTTTTAGGATATAGCAAAAAGTCTAACATACAGGTGCTTAACGATAATAATAAAGTTAATGGAGGAGCTGTTGTGTCCAGTCGGGAGGTACCCATGTATTTGTTGAACCGTCAGATACAGCAAACTATTGATATCAATGAAAAGCATAGGTATATATCTATTGTACATATTATTATACACACAGAAAAATAACAAAAATATTTTATATTTAATTATTAATTAATTTTTTTTTTTTTGAATAGACTTATTAAACAATTGAATCAACAATTAAATGGCCGTCAATTAGTTGATAAACATATTGAACAATATGTTAGAAATTTATTACAAACTTTGAAACCGACGCTAACTAATGATAAACTGATTGGACTATTGAATGTTAGACAACAAGAGTTATCATCGGATAATAGACAGTGTTATCATCAGTTTGTCGACACATTTCATGTGAAATGTTTTAATTTAAATAAGGTTTTRGTATATATTTTTTTATATATAAATAATAGTTTGAGGAAAAAATATTTATTTATTTTTTTATTATTAACTAATTTTAAAATATTTTTTTACAGAATCCTTATGTTTTGGGAAAACTGTTTGTTTTTGTCAATCTATGCAATGAATTGATGGACACATCGATGACTACAACAACAACTGCTGTCAAACAATTGAGTCAATACTGCGATACAAATGCATTGAATGAAATTGATATTAATATTCAATAAATTAAAAAAAATAAAATAATTTGTTAATTGTTTTGTCTTAATAAATAAAATAATGTAATTTTTTTTTTTGAAAATACAAATTAACATTAATATTGTTTGAAAATAAAATTATTATTATTTTTGTTATTATTAATATTAATATTAATAATAGATAAATAAATAAATAAAAAGTAATTATTTAAAATTTATTTATGTTTTTAGTTAATTAATTATTAAACTAATTAAACTTATAATAAATTAAGTAAATATTTATTTTTTAATTTGAATTTTTTAATCATAATATTATTTATCTAAAAAATATATTATTTACTATATGATTAATATTTTTTGTTTTTTATTTTTAATGTAACTATTTTTAATAATTTTATACATAGCATGTTAATTATATTGAAGTAATTTTATATAATTATTATATAACTTTTAATTTGTGTTACTTTTTTAAAAACATTATTATATTAATCAAAACAACATTGTTGTTATATTTATTAATATTAATTAAGTTAATAATATTTTTGATTTTATATAAAATTATTTATTAATTATAGTTATAACAAAAATTTATTTTTTTTAAAAATTATATTTAATTTGTTTAAAAATCATTTAAGTTTTTTTATTGTACTATTTGTTACATAGGATACTTACCCCACTTAAAGTTAGGTAGTATTTATATCTCAAATTGATTTATTAATTTATTAAACAAAATAATAATAATAATATGATATGATATGATATACTTGTCCTTTAAGTAGGCTATAGCTGTGCTAATAAAAACACATACAAACAGCTGATTATTATTTAAGTTATAATAAGTGGCATGTATTTCATAAATTAATTGTAAAACAATGAAATCTATATATTTATAATATATATCTATATATAGTATATGTATATATATATATCAATAATAAATACAAAGTGCTCAGGCTAAAAATTATCAATTTAGGAAATTCCCTTATTATTATTATTACATTATTTTCTAAAAAAATAAATATATTTTTTGAAAATATAGAAATTTAAAAAATAAATAAATATTATTTGATAAACTTATTTATTAATAAATAACTATATTAATTATAGATATATATTATTAACATTTAACATATATCATAATAATTATAAAATAAGTATATAAATAAAAATTGTTATTTTCAAAAAAAATATTAATTAGAGAAAATATATAAAGTAATTGAACAGTAATTATAAATGTTACTTGATAATTGTTTTTTATAGAAATTATTGCAAAATTATTAGATTATTAAATAAAATAGTAAATAATAAACTTGAAAAATATGAACTTGATAAATTATTATTATTATTATTATTATGGTATCAATTTTATTTATAAATTTATCAAAATAAATAGTAAACTATTAATTAATTAATTAATTAATATTATAGTATATTACATATATATATATATATATATATATATATATATATATATATATATATATATATATATATGTCAATACAGTATATGTATAACTGTATCCAAGTATATAAATATAGCTTTTAAAAAAATTATTATTTTAAACAAACAAAAATGTTCAAGCTAACAATATTAGTAGCGATTACCTACCTGTGCTGCTCAATAGCCAGTACAGTACCCGTCGACAATACCAATGACCCGGAGTTCAATGGTGCCAATTGGGTAGTACTAGTGTCGGGTGCCGACGGTTGGAGCAACTATGATATGCAGGTATATATATATATATATATATATTAATTAATTAAAACTAATTTTAGCCAGTTTATTTTTATTCAAATAAAATTAATTAATTATTGTTTTACACTATTATGTCATATGTAAGGCCGGTATCTATCATTTGTATCATTTTTTCCTGAACAACGGTATACCCGCTGATCATATAATAGTGATGCATACCGATGATATTGCCAATGCTGCCCGTAATCCACATCCCGGTGTTGTTATCAACTATCCCAATGGTACCGATTATTATGGAGGTGTACCCAAACATTATACGGGAAAGGAAGTCAATCCCAAGGTATGTTTGATAGGGGAGAGGGTTTGAGCCCATACATACATATTGATTAGTCAGAGAAGCTGAGAGAGAGTTAGAGAGAGTGAGTGAGTGAGTGAGTGAGTGAGTGAGTGAGTGTGTGAGTGAGTGAGTGAGTGAGTGAGTGAGTGAGTGAGTAAATATATTTAAAAAAATTTCAACTTTTATGATAAATTAAAAAAAAAATTTTTGTTGTTTTTTTATATTAAAACAGAATTTCCTTAAAGTACTGAAAGGTGACGAAGAGTTGGCCGCTGAGGGAAAGCCTGTACTGAAAAGCGGACCAAACGATCACGTGTTCATACATTTCAATGATCACGGAAGTGATGGTATGATATATTATAATAATAATAATAATAATAATTAAATACATATTAATTAATTAATTTATTTATTTATACAGATTTAATATGCTTTCCCAATGAATATATGTATAGTAAAGACTTAATTGCAGCCCTAAAATCTATGCACGAAAACAAACAGTACGGGAAACTAGTTTTTTATCTTGAATCATGTGATTCAGGTATGTATAATATATATATATAAATAATTTTTAAAAATAACCTAGTTCATTTTAATCATAGTAATTAAAAATTATTTTTAAAAATTAGGCTCAATGTTCGATAAAGTATTGCCCCAGGATATCAATGTCTACGCTATTACGTCATCAAAACCGGGCCAACTATCGTGGCGTATGTTTTGCGATTCAGAAATATCCACGTGTTTGAGTACGTAATTTATTTTTTTTAATTGACGTAATTTATTAAAATTGACGTAATTTATCTCTAATTTACGTAATTTATTAAAATTGACGTAATTTATGTATGTATGTATATATATAATATATATTTTTGCATGAATATATAGATGATCATTTTACCTATCATTGGATGTGGCACAGTGATGATCATGATTTGACCAAGGTTACCCTTGATGAACAATATCAGTTTATTGCCAACCATACCAATACCAGTTCCTATATTAAGACACCCTATCATAATCTACAACAATCCCAACATTATGGTGACCTATCTATTGCCAAATTACCTGCCTCACAATTTATGGGTAAGCTAGCTGATGGATAAACAAAAATCACTCACTCACTCACTCACACACACACCCACTCACTTAAACATAAAATTAATTTTATAAAAAATTAAATTTTAAGGTAAAAACAAAAAGTCTGGACAATCATCGCCAGTAAAATTCAATTACGAAAAACATCAGAATTCAGGGGCAACTGTACCCAGTCGTGAGGTTGAACTGTATTTGTTGAACAGGAAAATCAATACAACTGTCGATGTCGTCGAAAGACAAATGTATAGAAAAAAAATAATTTTTATATTTTATATAAAAAAATATGTTTTTAATGCAAATTATTTTTAGATATATCGATGAATTGGATAAACAATTAAAAGGCCGTCAATTAGTTGACAAACATATTGAACAATACGTAAGAAATTTATTCAACAATTTATTGTCAACTTATCTGACAAACGATGAAATGAAACAACTATTGAATGTTAGACAAGAGTTATCATCGGATAATAGACAGTGTTATCATCAGTTTGTCGACACATTTCATGCGAAATGTTTTAATTTAAATAAGGTTTTTGTAATATTTTTCTTTATATAATAATATTTTCAGTAAAAATATTTATTTATTTTTTGATAATTAACTAATTTTTTAAAATATTTGTTTATAGAATCCCTATGTTTTGGGAAAACTGTTTGTTTTTGTCAATCTATG